CGTAAAGACAACAGAGGATTCTCAGCTCTTAGTTGGCTTTACTGTAGGAGAAACTGCAGTCAGAGCTCATGTCTGTTCTTTGACATCACAGTGAGTTGTGAGACTACAGGAAGTGCCAGGGTACTTGGCTCTAGTCCTACACTTTTTGGTTTTGGTTTTTTTTCATGTGAAAGGAATGCTGTAATGTTTGTGAATGGAATATAATGTTCTTCTGTTTAAGTTATGAAATTGTGTGTGCAGTATCTGTGCTACGAAGTTATCTGTGGTAACTTCACAAACAGAAGCAGCTCTGCTTAAATCATAGAGATAAAATCAGTCCAGGTAGTTACCCAGAAGTGCCACAGAGAGCAAAAGTAGTAAAGGACTGCTACTTCTCAGCTTTCAGAAACTGTTCAAAGCACTTTGAAAAAGTGACAGGCGAAAAAGGGTGTGAGCGAATCTCTTATGGTTATTTACATTTGGTTATTGGTGAGGAAAAAAACCAAACTAGTATTTCTTTTCACCTCTAGACAGTAGAGATAAGAGAGGTTTTCTTGCCATTCACCCCACCAGTGGTGGTTCACACTGATAGAAGAATGACGCAGAAAGATCCAGATGTGGTTTTAAGTTTAACATGTGCTGATAACCTTTGTATGTCCAAGGCCCTTTTTTGATTTCTTGTTGGTGGCAGTGAAAAGAGCATATGTGTGTTTTCTGAAAATGGCTTGGTTTTTTATTTACTTTTGAGTAAAGAAGAGTTTTTCCCTTTCATCTAAAGACAAACTTCTCAGTGGATGTCCTGGCAGTTACCCTTCTATTTTTTTGAAGAGTGTTGCCCTTGGAGTTACACATTCGGTTTGTATTTGCTCGTGCTGGTTCTTACGTCTCTTTCCAGAGAGCCAAATGCATTATTAATGTTTAGGTTGCTTCAGGACATAAGAAAGTGAGGGAGCTTGCTAGTAGAACTCCTGCCAAATGAAGAATTGAAGCTATGGGATTAAGTACATTCCTAAAAGGATGATGATGATGATTCTATAGCTGTGTTGTTGTCTAACATGTTGATGATTATATAAAAAAAAGGAAGAAACCTCTAAAAAAAGACTGGACCATACATCAATTTAGTGAGTTTGGGAATCATTAGAGACTTTATCCCTGTTTTATTCAACCCCACAAGAGGGTGCAGCAGCTTTGGGCTAAGTTCTGGAGAAACATGTCATAATTTGAAGCAGAGGGTGTATGACAAACTTTATAGGTATATTTTGAGTAGCTTCTTACACACTTATAAAGTGGGAGCACTGTGGAGCACTATGGATAGCTTTTGGTCACCTTAAACTGTACTCAGCTCTTGTTTGCACACATTGTAATTAAATTTACTTCGACCTAAGGGAATAGCCAGGAGTGGGAATTGATGAAAGCAAGCACTGCAAATGCGAGGCTTGGAAATCAACTCTGGGGCAGAGAGAAAATCTGAAAACAACAGATCATACAAAAAGTGGAAGATAATGAAGCCAAATGGAAAAGAATAGAGAGTCTTGCAGTTTTGTGTTGGCGTTTCTGTTCTGTCACCCCTATTGTTACAGAATTCAGGAATGTATACTTTGGGTGAGAAAGCTTTCTTTCATTTTTTGGCAGCAAACACTTCAAATGCAACTAGAAAGTCTCCAGTTAACCTCTAGTGGTGCTGAAGGAGGGAGAGTAAAATAAATTACAAATAGCTATAAACACTGCCTTAACTTGATTTTTGGTTATGAGAGCAGTGAGACTGAAATGAAGGCTGCAGCGTGGCAAACATGAAATGCTACCTTGCCTGATGATTCCAGGGTGTGTGTTGTAAATCATCAGTGAAAATCTACTGCAGCTGCTTATTATCCTCAAAGAGGAATTACCTAGTGGCTGTTCAACAGCATATACAGCTTGGGCTTGAGCTCAGTCAAATGCCCATGGAATGGGTCACACTGGAGCACTCTACATCTATGATCAGCACTAGCTGTCAGTTCTGTAGTCAGCTTGCTGACTGAAGGGGGGGGACTGAAGGGACTGAAGATGAGTAGAGGTTTGGCTTTGGTTTTTTTCTTTCCCTTCTGCTGCTGTTGTTCATTTTTCCAATTCAGTGACTGTAGTTTTAGCAAAGGTATAGAGAAGTGGTTGCTGTAGTTACTTCTGAAGTGCTTGGTTTTCCAGAACTGACTGGAAAACAGTCCATTACTTTTGGTCTTCTGCCTCATTCCCTGGACATCAGTACTACATGTGAGCTTACAGTGGGTAATTCATCTACAGGGCCTGTAACCAGTAAGCTAAGTCACTGTTTTGGAGGATTTACAAGATGTGTAGTTCTTCTTGATTATATAAATGTAAATAAATAAACGTTTATAGACTTGCTCCTGATGGTAATCACTGTGATAACAAAATATTTCTAAACTGCTTAGAGCTTTGCAGCTGTCACATGCTTGTGAGGTGAAAAAGACTATTCACAGATAGAGAAACAGAGAAAGTCAGAGGAGAAGGTTCATGATTTCCTTGAAGGTAGCAAGGAAGCTGGACCTCCAATTCTCCTCCCACACAAATCTTTGCCTCTCTGTTACAGGTCCTACAGCTGGGCTGGTATTGTGCATCTCTGAAAAATACCAGTCCTATTTTTAACAATAGTGTATGCGAGCAGAAATGTGGGAGACAATAAAAAGAGTTTTTTCAAATATATTAATGGAAATAGGCAGTATAGAACTATCATTGGTCTGTTCCAGGATCAGGATGTTCACCTCCCAGACAGCAGAGGAGTTTAGTGTTTTCTTTGCCTCTGTCTTCAACATGGATGATGGACCAAGGGGGTCTCAGTGCCCTGAGCTGGAGGACCATAAGTGCGAGAACAAGCAACTTCCAGTCGACCCTGAAATTGTGTGGGATCTGCTGCTCCAGCTGGATCCCTGAAAATCTACGTGGCCTGCTGGGATTCGTCCCAGAATCGTCAAATAGCTGCTGGTGTCATCGGAAAACCTCTCTTGATGATTTTGGAGTGGTCTTGGGAATCCAGAGAGGTCTCAGATGACTGGAAGCTGGCAAACGTTGTCCTGATTTTCAAGAAGGACAAGAAGCAGGACCCCAGAAACTACTGCTACTGCGATTGAGGCCTGTCAGTCTCACTTCAGTGCCTGGAAAAGTTATGGAGAAGATTATTCTGGGAAGTATTGAAAAACACCTGAAAGACAGTAATTGTTCACAGCCAGCACAGCTTCATGAGGGGAAAGTCCTGCTTATCCAACCTGATTTCCTTCTATGGCAAGGTAACCCACCTAGCCAATCAAGAGAAGCCAGCTGCATTTGAGTAAAGCTTTTGATCCTGTCTCTCCCAGGATCCTTCTGGATAAACTGTCCAGCCCACAGCTGGATAAACACACCGTGTGGTGGGTGAGCAGTTGGCTCATGGGTTGAGCACAGAAGGTGACAGTCACTGGGGGGGACACCAGACTGGTGACCTGTCACTGGTGGGGTTCTGCAGGGCCCCGTGTTGGGCCCTGTGCTCTCCAGCGTCTTCATCAGTGACTTGGATGCAGGACTGGAAGGGACACTGAGCAAGTTTGCAGACAACACAAAACTGGGAGGAGCTGTTGACTCCCTCGAGGGCAGGGAGGCCCCACAGAGAGACCTGGACAGATCCCAGAACTGGGCAATCACCAACCAGAGGAAGCTCACCAAGGGAAGTGCCGGATTCTGCACCTGGGATGGGCCAACCCGGGGTGTATGGACAGAGTGGGGAATGGGAGGCTGGAAAGCAGTGCCAGGAAAGGGCCCTGGGGGTCCTGGTTGATGGCCAGTTGTCCATGAGTCAGCAGTGCCCTGGCAGCCGGGAGGGCCAACCCTGTCCTGGGGGGCATCGGGCAAAGCATCGCCGGCTGGGCCAGGGAGGGGATTGTCCTGCTCTGCTCTGACCTGGGGAGGCCTCACCTGCAACATTGGGGCAGTTTTGGGCACAGGTAGTATATAAGAAAGATATTAAGACATTAGAGAGTGTACAAAGCAGGGCAGTGAAAATGGGGAAGGGCCTTGAGGGAAAGCCATATGAGGAGCAGCTGAGGGCACTTGGTGTGTTCAGCTGGAGAAGATGAGGCTGAGGGGAGACCTCACTGCAGTTACAACTTCCTTGTGAGGGGAAGACACTGGGCTCTGCTCTGTGATGACCAGTGACAGACTCCAGGGAATGGCCTGAAGTTGTGTCAGAGGAGGTTTAGGTTGGATAGTGGAAAGAGGGTCTTCCCCCAGAGGGTGGTTGGGCACTGGAACAGGCTCCCCAGGGCAGGGGTCACGGCACCAAGTGACAGAGTTCAAGAAGTGTTTGCATGATGCTCTCAGGCACAGGGTGTGACTCTTGGGGATGGTCCTGTGCAGGGTTGGACTCGATCCTTTTGGGTCCCTTCCAACGTACCATATTCTGTGATATGAAAGAAGTTTTAACTTCTAAAAGTAAGATCTATAATGAAGTATAATAAAGTTGTCACAGCTTTTGTGCAGAATGTGAGCACACTGCCCACAGTGATTATCCGGTCTTTCAAATTACTCTTGATAAGAAGCACCCTTTCATAATATATAAATATAATATATTTATAATATAATATATAAATTCTACTTGTAGGCTTGATATAATGAGGAGTTCACGGCCTGTATAAAGTTTCATATGCTTTTCTTAGTTGAAAAAAAAAGTATTTAAGTATATAAGAATATATGTTATATCCTGTAACATGGCATAGAGAAAGAACTCACCTGTAGAGGTTGTGTTGATTGCCAGTGTTTTGTCTTATGCAAGCCTGACCTATGAAGTTAGAGGACTTCATTTAACTGAACAGGGCATATTGCTTTGCATTCTGTGATTAGTTTCAAAACAAAACTGCAGAGATATCTGAAAGGTCAGAGGTGACACAGCTCCATAACGTTAGCATTTAGTAGAATAAAATCCTAATACAAAGTAAAACACAGCAACTGTGTGAATTACAATTTTTTCTTTTTTCTTTTTTTTTTTTAAACCATCACAGTTTCAAAGAACATTTGAATCTTTAAGAAATGTATCCAGTAAATCTGAGCTACAGAAAACCTACCAGAAGTTTCGAAAAGATCTGGAAAATCTGGATTATTTGGCATACAAACGTCAGCAGGTAAGAACACGGGAGCTTGGTAAGAAGGCATAGAATACTGGACATAAACCCGGTGGATGGTAAAAGGGATGTGTTTGATGGAGTCCCCTGTGCTGTCAGTAGGGTTTGTGCTTTGTGCAGGGTTGTCAGGTGAGGCAGCAGGAGGGGTGACAAGGCTGTTTAACGCGTACGATGTTGGACTGCCTGTGTTGTGATTTCTCAGCAGAGAGGAGGACAGGCAAAGCAAGTAAGTGAGGCTTAGCAGATGTTGAATTTTGCATTAACATGTAACAGTTTATTGTTGCACTTCTATTAAGTGCCTAGAAGTACTGTTTGCATTCTTTTACTTGAAAAATGAGCTAAATCCCTAAGTTAATGGAATTTGATACTGACTGTACATTCAAACCACTAATTGTTTCTTCTTTAGAAATGAATTTCTGAGGTTAGATTGCATAAGACTTTGAAGCATACACAGTCTTTGACTTGTGCTTGCAAGATCAAGGTTAAATTGAATTATTAACATGTATTTACTGTTGGATATTCTGTCACTTATACATAGCTTATGGGAAAATGTCAGCTCTCATAATAAGTATTCACATTTTTATTGTCTTGATAACATAAGACTTTGCCTCTTTCAGTGTGCAGGAGAAATGCTGTGACACTTCTTGTTGTGGTTTGTGTTTTCCTTAAATCGGTCGCTTGGTGTCAGTGTTGTCAAACAGTTCATTTGCTTGGGAGCAAATCACTTGCAGCTGTTTCTATCAATATAATTGATTAGATTACCTGGGTCTTAGTTAATTTGCACTGTATACCTGAGCAGTAGTTATATGGTTATGCTGAGTAGTATTTTATCTGCTTGTTGATACCAAGATTTTCTCAATATATCTCAATAGAACTTGCTGCAGAAGTTCTGCAGTGAGGGATTTGAAAAGCTGCTGTATCTATTTAGTGTAGAAGATGCTTTGAATTTCGTCCTGCTGGGATAAGGAAGTGATTTTTCTGTGAAAAGATAGACAATTGTTTTGAGTACTGTGCAAAAATCACAGCCCTGGTTTGGGACTGAAGCTATTGTGAGTTTGTGACATGTTTGTGGAGTATGGGCATTTAATTGATAACAATTTATGTACTCTCATATTAGCTTAAGGGTATATTCATAGCCCCACTGTCAAAATGTTGAGTAACTGCTATCTGTTTGGAGACAAACATTTATATATAATGTGAATATGAATCCATTCAAGGTAAAATAAGTGGTTTATGTACTAAAAGTAACGAATATTGCTTTTGAATGAAACACAGTTATCCGCTCCTGTCCTTTTTCTTCAGACATAAGGCATGAAGTGGAATAAAGCAATGTGATTCTTCAGTGGTAAAATTTATAGGACAGATGGGAAATTGAAACTGTGCCTTTTAAATGTTGTTTCAAATGACCCACCTTGACTCTGATTTATAAGCACAGACCACACGTCGATGAGTGGTAGCAGTATACAAGAGGCAAACTTGTTTGGAATGGTGGTTTATATTAAGCTGTTTTTAACTGGCAATATTCAGAATGTGGTAGATCATCCCGAATTTTCAGATAGCCAGCAGATTGCCAACAGAAATGTCTCTTTAAAATGCTCAGTGAGGTCAAGAATGCAGTTCTGCCTTTCTTTATACTAAACCCCCAAAGTTGTTAGCAGATGTTGGTCAGCCTTTCAAAAACTTCAGGTTCTAATTTTGCACGTGGTTGAGTTGAGCTGGTGTGGAAGTGGTCAGGGTGGCGAAATTCTTTGGTGGTTACAGAGCAGGAAGATGGGAAGTTCTTGGAGTTGGAGACATCGTGTTGGAAAGCAGAACGATGTGGATGACATCTAGTATTTTGGTCAAGAAGCCTGAACAATGCTCTTTGCCATTCTTCTGTGTCCCAAACATGATATGAAGTATTAAACCACTTCTATATGTCACATCTCGTTACTGTTGCTGTCTGTAGAGGACTCCCAGTGTGCTTAAATCTGCTTCAGTGTGTTAAACTGACTTAAAATTCCTTGCTTTTCGGTGATCTCAATATTTTGTTGCTCAGTTGCTTGCTTATTGCTCTCTCTCCTCAATCCAGATGGATGTCCCTTCATCCATGAAACTTATGGTGACCTAATCTTTCTGTGTGCTTCCAGAGTTGTGTTGCATGTGCCAGAGAAATTCCTTTGGGTTGGGAACATCAGTTTATAGCCAGGCTGCCATTTTGAAGCCTGCCAGGAGATTCCTGTCTCTCAGAAATGTTTTTCTTTCTTGTCCAGGAGATAGTCTGGCAACTCCTTTGAACTAAAACAAGCTTTTGAGTTCTTTGATACTGTCTCATCTCTGAGATTTGACTAAAAAAGAATAGCTCCATGCCACAGTGAGTAGTAGAACTACTCTCTTGCTCTGTGACTTTTTGGAATGTTTCCAATAAGAGCTAAGTCAGCTTTACATGGGTTTGGATTAACCTAAATATTAACACATCTGCAATATGAATAATTACAGGGGAAATGAGATAGGACAAAATGGTAAAGCACTTGGGGATAAGAGAGGACTCTGATCCCAACACTGCTCTTGGAATACTGTAGTAGGTGCAGGCTTCCTTTTTTCTTGTGTGTGTCTTTGTTCCTATTGAAGGGAAGTGGTCCATATATTGTTCAGATGGAACAGTACTGGTTTAAGGCTATTCATTGTAATTATCTTACTGTAAGGTCATTTCAGGAATATTGGGCAATAGCTACAATAAAAATAGAATTATAATCAAATCCAATGGTATTTAGCACCTGTCAAACTGAAAAATTATCACAGTTGCTGCTGGTTTCAGTGTTAACAGTGCCTTTAGGGTGCTGCTGGCTGTAATCCAGAACTTAGTTTTTGCCTAGAATTCTCCACCAGTGTGGTCATCTAACTGTTGACAGCAGGACTTTAGTATGTGTACACACACAAAAGCAGTATCCTGTTGTAAAGCTATGCTAATTTAAAGTTTCCTTATTTGATTTGATTTTGGTTTTGGTTGTATTCCCTCAAGGTAATTGTGTGTTAAAGTTCTGAATCTATGTGAAACCATTTTCGTTATTCCATTTTAAAATCCTTTTAGGATTGCTTTCTGACGACTGTTGTGTTAGAAATTCAAGAAGTTAAGGGCTGTATCAAAGATGCTTATGGGAAATAATGTTTCCACGAGATGGAGCAGAGCCATTGCCTGTTTTACTTCACATTAGCCCATTGTGAAATGGGCCCATGCCAAATTTGCATTTTAAAAGTTTTAATTTTGTATGCAGACTTGCTCCTACAGTCAAATGATATTTCTTTTTGTTAAAATGGACCGAGTGCACTTTTATTCTCTGCCTTTGATTGTTCAAAACTTTGGGGGGAGAGAATTGAGAAGGTGAACGTGTGAAGATTTGTGGGGCAAACAATTTACAAAGTATGCTGAAATTTGGAGGGAGTTCAGGGGGAATTATTTGTTGTTAAGAAAACAAGCATAATGATAGAAAACGTAAAGAACTCAGTCATGGGGCTTCTCTGGAAAAATTTATGGCTTAGAAATGTCAGAAATAGAGGTACTTGATTAAAGCTCTGTTCTAGTACACAGAAATATGACAAAATCCAATGGATGGAAGTCAGAAAAATTCAAACAGGAAAGCAATTGACAATTAACTACAGAGATGGCTTAGTTAAGAGGTGCAGTACATTAATCATTGCTTGTAGCCTTTATAGCCATTATCCATGCCTTTCTAAAAGATATGGAGTAACTGAGATGCAAATCAAAGGGCAGGAATTAGGAAATATTTATGGCTTGTGCTGTTTAATGAATTTGAATGAGAATTCACTTCTTTTTTTTTTTCTCTAGACTTAGGAATGACAGTGCATTTGGCTGTGTATTTGAGGGTAAAGGCAGAATTATGTCTTTTGAATTGCTATCTTGGATTAATAAATGGGTGAATTTGTTTACTTTTGTATTTACCACTCTGCCACTGTACAAACATTTGCAGGGTTGGATGTAGTGAAATCTTGTTTAGGATTTTTCAAAGAAACCTAGGACTTCACTCTTGAGTAATTTTAAGGACATACAGGCATTTGATTCCCATTAGTTTTCTGAAAACGCCTTCTCTCCTTTCCCCCTTTAATATTTAGTCACACAATATTGATTATAAAATGAGAGTATAGGTTGTATTTCCAGTATTCTAGCTGCTTATTATCCCTTGACGTAAGAACAACTATCTATCATGTTGTTGTGTAATTAAAGTAGTTGATTTATGCATTCATTTTAAAAAAAGCAAACAACAAATCAGTCTCAGTGTCTAAGAGAGTAAAAAATTATGACAGTTCTGTTTTGAGGCACCTGAGGTGTTTTAGTAATTCTGTGATTATAGTTCTGTCGCTCGGCCATTGCTTCTGTCTGTCCTGTGTATCTGTGTGGCTTCCTTAATGGGTGAAGAGGGTTTCCTTCTCCCTGCCCACCTGAAAGTGCTGATATTCCCCTGTTTATATTTTTTTATACATATTCAGGGTGGTAGGGAGGAAGACTTTTGTATCCCCCCTCCACATTTGCCACAGTGTGTGCTGTCGTTTTCCAGCTCAGCTTCTCAGCTGGACTTGCCTGCCTGTAGTGCCAGCCTTGCACGATCTTAATTTGCAAGCAATTTGTATCTCACTGCGTGCAGTTTTTCTGTCTCTGCATGGAAGCTGGACCTCTGAGGGGAAAAAAAAAACTTTTCTGGGAAAATAAAACAGAGAACTTATTTTTTAAAAACAATGGTTTGGCAGCTTCTGTGTTTGGTGTGGGTTTTATTTTGGTGTGTGTGGCCCATGAAATGGAGATTTGGTGAGCTCACTGTACAGCTGCTCAGGGAGCAGGGGGAGGGTTTTTCTGGTCTTCTCATATATAGAGTTTTTACTTTTAAAAATCTGAACATCAAAATTAGGTAAAATATGCAAGAAACTTCAGGGGGAAAACTAGAAAGTGTAGTTGTATAGTTGGTCACATTTGCATCCATGTGTCTGATACCTGTTCTGTTGTTAGT